TGGCAGAAAACATTTATCAAAGCAGATTTCCTTTCATTTCTCCTTTTTGTGACTGAATCCCACTTTAAGATATACTCATGGAGGAACTTATCGCTTTTACACTATTTAAAAGTGCTACTTGGAAATAGCTAGATACTTAAGTATTTATTTATACTTTTAATATTTTAAATATAATAGTTGAATCATAGTGTCACTTTTATTATCACAATTCTACCATTTGTTAAGAAGCTCTGATAATTATCATCAGTTTCAGTTAAAAATACAAGGCCCAACTTGCTTTTACTTTATTGCTTGACTTTTCCTTAGCAATTAAGGCAAAATTGTCAATGTGTCATCTTATATTAATTCAACTCTTATATTCCATTAATTACTAAAATTGTTATCTTTTAATTGCACCCTTTTGTATAGTGCCAGTGTTTGTATGCTCTGGATTTTATAATCAGTCAGTACTTATTTGCTAAATTTATTAATAATTATATACCAATATAAATACAATCAGGTTAGCAAAAATAACCTACCCTCTGATAGTTTTCCATCTAAATCAGCAGTTGGCAGCCTTTTAGCAGTGGCAGGCTGAATTAACACAGCTCAGTCAGAAAATGGGCCGCTGCCTATAATCTGGCCATTGCTGCCACTTCCTATCACTGATTGCTGCCAGCAGCTATCACCGTCTAGACCGGGCAGGCAGGATACAATCTTTTTGAGACCAGATCTGTCCTTGGACAGTAAGTTGCCTACCTCTGGTCTAAACCATTGCTAGACTGCTTGTGTTAAGATACACGTTGATTGTTATCAAGATCTAACCAAAAAAAGTAGAACATAATAGATCTTAGAATTTATCATGTAAAGAAGTAGACCTTAAGAACAGCTTAAATCAGAATGAGCTTATTTGATGAGCTGAAAACATGGCCTGCAGATAATAGATTGAGGTGGTAGAACCCCAAAACAGCAGTATAACCAGCCTTTATGTTTTCAGATAATCTGGACTCGGAGGCATCTTTATGTAGAAGATGCTTCTACGTGAATATATTTCTCTCAGGGCAGCTTGAAGAACTGAGTGGGTCTGGAGAATGATTTGCCCGCTCCCATCCAGAGCAGAGGCAAGCTAGCATAGTGGTAGTATATAAAAGCTGCTGTTCTCCTTCCTATCCTTGTTCTTTGAATTTAAGAATGGGAGTGTTTAGGGGTGCAAGTCCAGCACCTGCTTGTTCAGTTTTTGTCTTCCATATTTGATGTGTAGGTTCTGTGGTCCTTTTCTTTCATGCAGGGAGTTGGATGTTGTATTGCTTTTGAGGTTTCTGCCCACCATTTTGTGTCATCAAATAGGCCATTGCCTTTTATGAGGATCAAATTTGAGTTAAAAAAATTTAAGAGTTTCTCAACACAGGGGAATTGGGAAAAAGGGATTCAAATTAAATAAGGGTTTGATTATACAGTGGTTTATTTAAAACCTCATTACAGTCAATTTGGCTTGGTTCGCTTCCACTTTGTCCATGAAGATGGGCTCTTAAATTTGACCCTATGCATATAGTCAGTAGCTTTTCTTTTTTCTCTGAGAGATTTTTAAAGGTCATTGCATCTACAGAGACCTGCTAATTGCATTATGTGCTTCTGCCACTGGGTCTTTTGTTTTTGACTTTTATCTTATTACAAGCTTGACAATACATATGTGATCATGTGATTCTTGCCACTTAGCCATTCTGATCTTTGTTGTTATTGCATAGGTTAACAAAGAGCTGTTGCATAATATTGCTAATAAGCAGTGAGCGAATAATTGTAAGTGCATTACAGTAGTCTCCAACTTTTGCTTTTCCTCTCTATTACCAAAACTAGTTGCAAACATCCTGTCTGAAAAATTGTAATAAAACTCAGGATGTATCATAAAATTTTATTTTACATTGTGTGAATGTATAGTATAGTCTATTAGTAAATTAAAATATCTTATGGTAGAGGAAATAGAAGTCCTGTGCAGCAGACCATACCAACATTTTCTCACAGAGGTGGGAGTACAATTAATATAAGTTTTGTTTGTTAAGAAACAGTAAAGCAAATAGTCCAGCTTAAAACATCCCCTGAATCATGGAAGCATCACTCATTTTCCATTTGTATTTTAATTCAATAGCATAAAACTTTCAGAGTTTAGAGGGAATTTTTAATATAGAGAGTGGTTAAAGGAAATCAATATTCCATACAGAAATAACATGGGCTTGTTGATACTTTACAAGTAGCAGCTTGTCTACACTATGAATATAACCAAGTCAGGAGATCTTGTTACAATGTGCTTATCCCTTAATTTAAACAGGCTACAGTTATGATTTGTAATGCAGATGAAATTATGCCCCCTAATTTGGTAAAAGCTTTGAATGCAAGCATCTTAGAGTGGTCCTATGAAAAAGGAAAATCTTGTGCTGTATTACCCTGTTACTTTGTTGTGGTATAGTACAACATACCTCAAGTCCTTGAATAGAAACCGGAAACCTTCCGGTTAATGGAATTTTGATAATTGGAAAAGCCAGCTCCATGGCTGACTTGCAAAGCTGTATTCAGTGTCCCATTGAGCGAGCTTTAGTTAAAGCACTCCTGCTGCTACTTTGAAGCATGGGGATGCTGAATGCACATGACACTGAGGCTACTGGAGCATGTTAATCAGCATGCTACAGCAGACTCGGTTAATCAAGTCTTCTTCAACATGTGCTAATTAGCATACATTGGAGCAGGCATTGGGCACATGTGTAGGTGCCCATTAATCACAGAAACTTTTTACCTGTGCTTGTTAGTCCATAAATATTCACTGCAGTATAATGCCTACTCTTAATTCTGCTGTTGGCAAAGTTCAGTCAGTGTATCTTGCAAATCAAGTGTGGGCAGGGAAAGGGTGTTCATTTTATAGGATCTGGCTAACGCCTATTCATACCTGTAGGAGTCTTTCCACTGGCACTGAACCTGATTCTCATGGAGATTTATGAGCCTACTTTATCATTGACATAATAGCTAATTAGGTGCCTAAATAAGTTTGTGATTCTCAGCCTATGTTACCACAGGGAAAGAACAAAGAATCTTATAATAATTAAGAATGAAGTTTAATTTGCAAGGAGCCGGGCACAATGATGCAAGGGGTACATGGATGACTCCAGAGAAAATATACATTGTAGTTGTAATAGTATTAGTCGCACTGTGATATAAGATGTCAATACTAAGTAATAGGACTGCATGAAGCTTCAGGTGCTGATTCAGTTCAGAGGAGATTCGGCCTGATTTGGTGGCCGAATCTTCAAATCCAATAAAAAGGTCCGAATCAATTCAAAGCTCTCTGAATTCAAAGCTCTCCGGTAAGTGGGGGGTGGGGAGCTGGAGGAAGGAAGCGGGGAGGAGACCATGGGGGGATCCCCACGAGGTCCCATCCCCTGCCTGCTTCCCCAGTCCCCCTGAGTGCCCCCAACCCCCGCCTGCTCTCCCAGCCCTTTCAATGGCTGCCCTACCCGGCCGCAGTGTCCTAGTGCCTTAAAAAAAATTGTTAAAGCCCCACACTCACCAGCTGCCATTGGGGCCTATGGGGGCTCATGGCAGAGCCCCCTCACACAGCATGGGGCAGGTCAGGGCAGTGGGATTGCCCCCCCTGCCTGGCAGCAGCCAGTGAGTGCAAGTCTTTTTTTTTTAATGTGCCCGGGATGCTGGGGCCGGGTGGGGCAGCCATTGATGAGGCTGGGAGAGCAGGCGGGGGATGAGGCCCATTTGATTTGGCTGATTCAGCAGTGGCCGAATCTTCGATTCAGAGTCAGCTGAATCAACTCAGGACAGTATTTGAATCAGCGAATCGAATCACTGTCCCCCAAAACGGCCAAACCGAAGCAAATACTAGCTGCTTTGTACAGGCCTACTAAGTAATATGTGTATATCATGAGACCCAGTTCTACAAAGACTTATGCGCACACTTAAATTTTTGTACGTTGAATGATTGCATTGACTTTAGGACAATCACCAGGTGCCAAGTTAAGCACATGAGCAGGTCTTTTTAGGATCAGGATCCATTTGACTGTATGTAATGGTGATTGTTTTGAGGTTCTGATTTTCCATGTTGGATTTTGCCAATTCTAAGGCTATTTATGCCTCCTGCTCTTGTCTTTTAATAAACACAGGGACAGAGAACTAATTTCTAATCAATATCTGCCTATGCCAATAAACTGCCTTTTCATCTCTTAGAAAATCTGCCTTCTCCTTTTTCTGACCTATTGATTCTTCCATGTTTGAAATGCAGATTTGTTATTTGCCTTAATGTTTTGTTCAATCTATATCTCCATTTACATTCATTTTGGATATAATCTTCATATTTCTGTTCTTACTGTTCAATATGTGGTGTTTTATAGCTCCTCACATGTGCTTTCTTGTTTAATCTTGATATTCTTTTATTCTTTGTTCATGTACATGAGCTCCATATTTTCCTTAGTTTCAAGCCTACCTGTTGCTGTATCACATGCATGACCATGACTTATATGATAATTACTCTTAAAAGACTTCTACAGTGCTTTGTGCTGCTGCCCTTCACAAAGCGTTGTAATGTATCTCTAAAGCCAGAGCAGCACTACAAGCAATTGTAGTAAATAATTGATTAATGAAGGGTACATATGGGGATGGGTAGAGGTATTCGGAGGAATATTGGATTCTATTGGTTGTAGGGCAGAGTACAGGACTCTTTTCAAGCCCCAACGTCTGTTCTTGAAGAGTAGAATATGAACCAGTTATGTTGTAAACTTGTCGTTCTTCTTCGTAGTTCGATTCTGAAGAATGGGGGCAGTATAGAACTCTTTCAGTGGTCATTTTGGTCAGTTCAGAAGCTGATCCACTGTCTTTGTAAGAATTATTAATTAGAGCTAACTACTACATAGATAATTGGTACTTAATGAAACTTTTTTCAAACTCTGTGATTCTGAAAAGGATTGTGCGCTATAGACGTACAGCCAAATAACATTAGAATTCTGAACTTTTCTCTACTATTAACACAGATAGTCTCTCTGGAAAGATACTGGAGCAGGTCATCGAGCGATCAGTTTCTAACACCATACAGGACAAGTAACAGCCAGCATGGATTTGTCAAGAGCAAGCCTTGCCTAACCAACCCAGTTTTCTTCTGGGACAAGGTAATGGGTTTTGTGGATGAGGTGGGGAGCAATGGATGCCTTTATACCCTGACTGGCCACCCTTCCCAGCACTACCACCAGCACCTGCCCTGTGCAGCTGAGCCTGCCCCATACCTGCCTGCTCTGAGCCCAGTCCCCCCTCCGGGAAGAGACTGGCACAGCCCCTGGCTCTGAGCCCACAGTGGTCAACCTGCTTCTGCCCCTCACACAAATCTAGGGGGGCACATGCCCCCCCATGCCTTCCCTGGGGGTGCGCAAAGTGGTGGGGAGCCTCTCCTTTCTCCCCCCCCGCCGCCCTCTGTGCACCCCCTGGATGAGCTGCCCACGGCTCTGTCCTGCTCTTCAGCCCAGGGCCACATGCACTGCCCCGGCTGAGCGGTGCCTGCCCCTGCCTCGCTCCCTCCCTCACCACAGGGGCCTCAATCTGCTCCCCCCCCACACACCTCTTCCCTCTCCTACAGTCTTCCTCCCCACACCCAAAGAATAACTGGCAGGATGCTGCTCTCCAACCTGTCCAGCTGCATTCCTGTTAATCAGCTATCGGATTGGTATCAGCTGGTATGGCTAGTTAATAATTGGCCATTGGTATTGGCCAAGAAAATCTTTATTTGTGCACCCCTAAAATTAGAGCTTTCCCATGTCTCCCTCTCTGTGAGTGATCTTGGGGCATAAGAGCACTGTGGTGTCTACTGGAGTTCTATACATCCAAGACACCCATCAGTAATGCAGACTTAACTTGTTGACATTACTGCCCTAGTTAGATTTGGCAGCAGTCAGCAGTGCTTTAGGGCAGTGGGCTGAAACAACCTCAGCTCTGTGGTGGACCGGTGCTTGTAACACAGCAGCTGTTGCTGCTGGTACTTCTCCATGCCACCGCAGGCAAAGTCCTTGTGCTGGAATGCTGCTGAAATGCTGCCAAAGTATCCCCCCTCCCCACCATCCTGGATCTGCAGTCCACCCATTGCCAACCCTTGAGCTAGAAAAGTTAAAAAAGTGGAAAGGAGAGACCATGTCAAAGTTCCTTCTGGCTGACATTAGAAATGGCAACAAAGCTTGGGAAGAGAAAGCACCTGTACTAGTTAGAACTGTACTTGGCAAGAGACATAATTGCAGATAAGGAGGTTAATTACTGTGCCGTGGGCCCTGGGAACATTACTTAAACAGCCGTGCAACAAGGAATTGGCAACTGACGTGAAATATTGTAGTGTTGGTTGTGGGAAATGGGAGGGAGGGAGGTTCCTTCCTTCTTTCTTTCCAGCTTCCTTCCAGGACTGGGTTTAATAAGAATGGACCACTAGAGCCATCATGAGTAAAATGTCCCTAATGTCTTCTCACATTCCTATGTGAAATAACTATTATGGAGTGCTTATCACTTGATATCTCAATTTGGCCATTGAATTCAGGAGCTTGCTTCTTGTTTCTGTTCTTTACCAAGTTTTTTTCTCCCTAAAGGATATTACAGTACAGGAAATGACAACATATACAAGCCACAAGTATATCATAAACTCAGATTATGTGACTTAATTGTTCTACTAAGAATGATATGAGTGGAGTATGTATCTGCTGTACTGAACTGTACAAGCATGGGTCGAATTTTCAGGTGGTGCAATTGATTTGAGCATATATGTGATTTGGTGACCCAGAAGTTTCAACTTTTTATTTTAAAATCACTGTTCTCTGAGCTAAAGGGTGGTTTTGAATGGCTTTGGTTTTGCTAGACGGCATCCTTTGATATGAAGGAACATTCTGATAGGTTGCAGTGAGAATATTGATGCAGGAATGTAAGAAATGGAGGAAAATGCATTTATACGTACGCCTAGACAGCATGCTGCTGTGGGGAGAAACCCTTTCAATCTCTGTTTGCTTATAACCTAGCAAAGCATTACTGGGAATTGTGGACATGTATTACAAATCATTAATAATGAATCGATTTTTTTTCTTACAAAACAGTGATTGTGAAAGGAAATATCTGGCAGCTGAAAATGCTGACCTAGTGGCTGCCTCTTGTAAACCAAAGTGCCATGATGCCTCCAGACTTTTCTGTATGAAACTGTAACAAACCCTGACTTTTATAACACAATTCAAGCAAGATAATGCTATGAACTATTGTGCAAAGGCCTAAGCTCTAGGTTTTCCAAGGTTACAGAAGTGCAGCTCAGCCTGTTACATAAAATTGTTTAGAAAAGTCAGCCAAAGTTAAAGATAGAAAGTCTGGATCTGTCCAAAGAAGAAAACCTCCTGATACCACCAAGGACTGGGTTGAGATATGACCTTGCTCAGTCACTGAACCAAGATTGATGTGCTGGAAATTAGGGCATAATTGGTGGACAAAATAATAAGAGGATGGGCTCAACTGTCCATCATTTTTTTATGGTCATTAACACTGAAGCCATGAAAATGGCAGACAGAAATGAGTGATTTTTAGTTCCATGGTTGCCATTCCACCAGCTTCTGCTTTATGAGGATCTGAAACACTTGGGTCTCATTAATCTGATTCTGAAAAACACCCTAGATACTCCAAGTCAGAAGGAGGCATCCATGTGAGATGGGTGTTTCTATCCTTCCCTTTTCCATTCATACCTTGTTTCTTCTTTCCCATGGTTTTTTGTTTGTTTGTTTAAATTTTTTTAAAGACTAGTCTGGCTCAGCCAGCCAAGACTGAATCTTGCAATACTGCTGCAATACCCATGGCCAAAAAGGCAGCTGAGAGCAAGATCTGAAGCAGCTCAACAATAATGCAAGTTTGCAAGCTTTTGGAATGACTGATAAGACCATCTGCTGTTTCTTTCTTTCTCTAATAGTCAGGTTGCTAAGAGTTAGAGCCAAATGGAGCTGCATTTTCCTTAGCTGTTCTTTCCTCTTCCCATTTGTTTGCATTTTGTCTTGTTTTGCTTTCAGGAAGGCAGAATCGGACTCCAACAACAACAGTAGGAACAAAAGTTTCACCCCATCTGAACTAACTTTTTTCTCTCTTCTCTGAAAAAGACAGTTACCACCATTTACATGGCTGCCAAGCAGAGGGGTTTCCTTATAAAAGTTTTGTACAGGGAAACGGATGCTGTTAAAATGAAGACTTACCCTAATACCTTATATTTCAAAAGTTTTTAACTGAGTTTCCTCTTTTTTTCTGTATCCCTAAGAAAGGGTACAAAGATATTAATGGTGATTATTTGCCTGGGACTAAGCAGGCCAAGGCCTCTGTCCTTGAAACCCTAAGCCTTGTTTAATAGTATAATGTTGTATAATTACTTGGTCTCTTGTTTGCAGTGCTGACTCTCTCGCCCATTTATTCTGTCTGAAGTAGCATAGCAGAATTTAGAGGCTTCCTGCTCTAAGGGAGTAAGGACAGGATT